CCTCGGCATGCACTTTGAGCCTCTCGAATGTAACAAGCGATTCCATTAGGGATTGAGAGTCTGCCCCGAAATATTCATTTTAAGCTGCTTGTATACCTGTCGCCTTCTATTTTTCTAACATGGGTCACTCTGACCAGGTAATAAAGCTCTTCGTGACCGCTACAAGATTGAGACAGATGGGCGCTGTGGTAGAATGTATGTATGGCAAATTATGCCCAATTGGTTCATCTGGAATTATGTGTACCCTTGCAGGAATTTGGTCTATATTTCCAATTTGATCTTTGTTTGTTTGGTTGCAGATTTGTTCAGAAGCTCGCTGCTCAGTTATTTAACTCGGACAATAACCAAGCAGCATTTCGTATTTTGCAAGATTTCCGGAAAGGGAAATTTGGTTGGATAGCACTAGAACGGCCACCCAGGTAGACCTGTGCATTTCAGACCTTGTTCCAGTGCTTTCATGCATGTCAATTGAAGCTTGTGGAAAATTCTTGGAAGCTTCTGATCAACATGAAAGTATATAGACGGGAAAAACCCAGGAATACCGCTGAATGTGTTACCGCTGAACCTACTCAATGAAGCTACATATGGTGTAATTGGTTCTCGAGTTCCATTAATGTCAGGCCAGCTATATAAGTCATACACCAATGGTGACTTTGGTTCTCCATCTTGGGTTGTAACTATTATCTTCAAACAACTAGATTATAGTTTGGCTATAATTCCTTTGGTTGGAATTAGCCGAAGTATTCTAACTTAAGTCTAGATATAAATTAGACAATATTAGACTAAATTCTATGTTCAAATTCTGCATATGTGAAATGAAGGACAGAGAAGGTGCAGAAAGGGAAGCAATTATCTTGCTGCCATATGGAAAAAGTTATTATTGTAACCAAACTTTGTCAAAGAATGTGTTGTGTCCATGATAAAACACATGGACGCGACTTTGGAACACCTAGCATGTAACATTTTGAGTTCCTTTGGCTAACCTGAATTTAAATAGCTTTTAAAAACACTTTTTTTTTAGTGTTGAAGCTGATTTATGAATAAATGGTACGAATTTGAATAGAAGTGTTGAAATTGAAAATTTGCTTATTAGCTGAATTTATGTCGACATGCATTAGCTGTGAACATGTCCTCCAGCTTTCCATTTGAGGCCTAAATAAAGATGGTAAAATGGTAAGAGCGCCTTTTTAGGGGTCTATTTCAAATAGAATGACACCTTATTATATTTGAAATTTTTTTAACTTCAAACTTGTTCATTTTACCTTTAGTTATATATGTTCTATCGCCATTGAAATGATATGACATGTTTAAAGTATTAACAACGGTTAGTGGTGAATAAGGTCCTTTGTCTTTCCATTTAAGACCTTTACGAAAGTATACTAAGCAATGCACTATTTTAATTTTTAAGTATGAATTGCCTGTGAAGAAAGGCCAAGTGGTGCAGCAGCAAGCTACTTGGTCGGCTAATATGAGACAAATTAATCTCTCAACAAAGCAAAAGGAATCACTTGCAAAGATTAAAAGGAATCACAAGTAATTTGTACCACTTAATAATTGAGTTAACTAATTGTAGTAAACACGAGCACAAACCATACATGAATGGGGGTGCATACTTACTTTTGACTGAACCTATATATATATTGTTGATTTTTTTTACAGAAAAATTAAACTAAGTTTACGCTTTCGCCATAAAAGAATATTGCATATACGTACTTTCACAAATTTAAATCACGAATTCACTTCTGAAAGGTAACATATGTGAGCTTGTTACGAAATATTTCTAGAACTATAAGGACTAAGACTTCGGAAGAAGGGAGGGGTGGGGTGGGGGTGGGGGGGACGCAATGACAGAGGCAGAATTACCTGCTAAGGGGTTCAAAAAAGAAAAAAGTTAAAAAGATTGTAGCTGGTGGAAAAAAAACCAATGACCTTGCAATTGTTTTGAAACCCCTTGACACTAATACTCTGTTTGGATCATTGTTCTCCATCGTTTTATAATGTATTGTATTGTATTGTATCGTATTGTACCGTATCGTTTTATGAATACAATGTTTGGATAGATTGTATATGTTTGTTATTGTTAAATAATATTTTGTTGTTTTGGTTTGACTGTATGGTATTGTACTGTAACTGATAAGTTTACTAAAATACCCTCAATTGTTTCACTATTAAATTTATCAAAATTTATGCATAAAAATAATTTTAGAAAAAACAGAAGAAGGCAAAACACAATAAGAAAGCAGAACAAAGGAGCGAGACAGAAGAAGGCAAAACAAAGGAGCACAACTAATTAGAATTGAGTTACAAGCAAATTAGGAGAAAAAATAAAACAGAAGGCAGCAAAACACCTTTAACATTGGTCTGGAAAAAGATAAAGTAGGTTATAAGTTGGAGATTTGGAGTTAAAATGGAAAAAAAGATAAAGGGTAAATAAAAAAATTGTGGAGTAATAAGTTAGGGCGTAATTGGAAAGAAAAATAGGAAACGATCCCACCACACCGAATCGGTTGTTTGAAAAAAGGGGACTTTTCATTGTTCCGGAACAATGGATTTAACAATACAACACAACCAATTTTAATGAAACAATCAAAACAAACATTGTTTTGGGATAACAATACAATACAATACAACAAGGAACAACCATCCAAACAAGCTGTAAGCTATACTTTTGGGCTGCGTCAAGTAGATTCAAAACATAATATATAGAGGTAAAAAACAGATTTTGTCTTATATATACGACGTAATTTTTCAGTGAACGGGATTCGAGCGAACACCCTTCCGCCCCTAAATCCGCCCAATGGGAACGTATGCTGCCTAGAGTACTAGGTACAGTGTACTGGACAAAAGGAAAAGAAAAAAATAAGAAACAAACACTGAATGCGAGTAAAAAGAGTTGCCTGCTTCTTAATGGTTAATACTGCATATTAATGAGCCAACCAGATAACGCATTACTGGAATCCAACCTTTAAAAATCTTAATCACAATCACAGTGCAAAGTGTTGGTTCTCCACGAGCTGTCCGTGCAATTCTAGGTCTTAAAAGATTGACTCTTGTACTTCGAAAAGGTTCAAATAAATTGAAACGGAAGGAATATATGCGAAGAGGTCATAATGTATTCAATTAGTTTAAAAGACGTTTGACAACATTATGAAGTTCTTGAGAAAAAGTGATTTCTTTTATGCAATGGTAAGAAGAAGCTTGAAGCAAAGCTTTCTAATGAAATACAAGAAAGGAGGAGAAATTGAAGAAGAAAAAAAGATTCATAAAACTAATAGTCTTCTATAGTGTGTACTAATATGTCATTATGTGCTTCGTGATTTAAATGTTTGACAACTTCGAACAAGCCGCTGCGTATTGGAAACAGGCTATAACGTTTATTTCGGGAAAGTGGTTCATGATTCTTGAATTTATTTTTACTCATTGGAAAGAAGAAATTTGTGCTACTGAAGGTTATTTGTCCAAAATTGTGTATGAAAAGTTATAATTTTTTACATCAAAATGAAAAACTTAGATCATGTAAAGTTGATGAATTAATAAATGTTTAAGGAGTAAAGATTCTTTGGTTTGGGTTCTCCTCATGTGGTGGCAGAATAAAGAAAATTCATCCTCTTTCAGAGTAATTCCTAAAATGACCAATCAGATTTTATCTATTGTATAGAGGCTTAATAGCCAATATCTATGTCTTCTACCTAAACTAACAAAAAGAGAAAAAGGAAAAAAAAGAGAGGACAAAAAACCAAGAGAAACAATGACCAATGAGCTTCGTCCAATTTCAAATTATTCTAGCATTCCACTTTCTTCGACTTTTCCTTGTTCCTTTCGTCCGTATATTTTGTAGCAAGAGTAAAAGCTAAGTAAATTATTCTAGTGGCATCAAAAGTTCTGCTCCTCTTCTTTGCAATTAGATCACACTTTGCTAAAAAATTTACTGATTCATGTTTACATGGAATGGTACCAATTTATCATTGTTAAGTAAACAAATTAAGTTGAGGATGTGTACTATAGTAGGAAAAATGATAAATACCCCAAAGTATGGGAAAAATGACACCGTACAGCCCTATAAAAATAATAGTCGAAAAAATATATTAAATTTGTATATTTCTTTTTGTATATATATACATTTAGTATGTTATACAAAAATTATAAAAGATTTATGCACTTTTTTGGCTACCAAATGTAAATAGTTTCTGGCGCGGGCTAAAAGTGATAATACCCCAAAAGTATATACAAAAATATATGTCATATATTCGTTGAGTTGATGTCTCCCTCCCTCGCAACTTTGGCCAACTTATTTTTGGTTGCCTTCTCATAGTAAAGAGTATCTATTAGAAACAATCTCTTTATCTGCATAAGTAAAAGTGCGTAAATACTATTCTCTCCAGGTTTCACTTGTGAGATTACACTAGGTACGTTGTTGTTGTTGTTTCATGAAGTAGTAAAGAGTATGACAATCCAATTGGAAATTGTGAGCACGAGAGTAATTAAAATAGAACTCATACCAGTCGCGAAGCAAGGTATTTTTTTAAGGGTGTTCAAGCTTGAAAGAAGTGGAAAAAAAAATCCTAACAAAGGGTGTTCAATATATATTTTATACCTCTAAAATCTAATTTTACCTATATATATGTCATGTAATTTTCGACAAATGTAGCTTCGCCCATGTTCATAGCCACAACGTAATCATTCTATTTGTTTCATTTTATATGATTTTATTTATTATAATTATGTTTCAAATAGAGCCTTGGTGTAACTGGTAAAGTTGCCGCTATGTGACCAGGAAGTCACGGGTTCGGGCCGTGGAAACAACCTCTTGCAGGTAAGACTGCGTACAATAGACCTTGTGGTCCAGCCCTTCCCGGACCCAGCGCATAGTGGGAGCTTAGTGCACCGGGCCGCCCTTGTCGACTGTACTTGACCAATTCTCAAGCTGGTTACTTTTTTGTTCCTATAAATACAACCTTGCTCATTCACTTCTCTTTCATTCAGTGCCTCTTCCTCTATTACCTATTCTTACCTTCACTCTTAAAAACTTAGTAGAGCAAATCCTCTATTTTTTCCCTATTATTGTTCAGTCAGCCAAGGTCATTTAACATTTAACACTTAATAAAATCTTTATCGTCATTCTAAACGTACGGATTCATAAACCCCCTGTTCTTCCTCTGTTTCTGTTCTGTTTTTCTTCCTGTGTTTCCCCGCAAATCCCCTGTTCTTCCTCTGTTTCTGCTCTGTTTTCTTCCTCTGTTTCCCTTATTATAGTAACTAGTAAATTTTTCCGCGTTAAAAAACAATATGGCCTCAACTGCCATTCTCTGTCAAGGGCTGCAATCTTGCATGGAGCCACAACTACCTGAACAACATGTTCTAATAAACAAATTGTCCCCTCCGATGTTAATCTTTTCCCAGACTAAGTTTAATATTTTTTCACAAGAAGCAAAAGCAAAAGGAGTAGAACCGAATGAAGAGATTGGTGTTCGTTTCAATGAATTGCAAAGCCAGCATGGCAACGATAACAAGGGTGGATGGAGTTTCTTACGGTCTCTAGATAACGCAAAAAAAGATAATGCAGAAAATGAAGTCTATATTCACCCTTTAACGAAGCGCTCTTCTTCCACCCTTAGCCCCAAAAGCTTGGAGATGTGCACAGAGAACTTAGGAAGCGAAACAGGCAGTGACATTAGCGAAAGCATAGAGGAAAACTATTTTTTCTTGTCAGAAAGACAGAATTCTCATGATGTTCGACGATCAAAACGTCGAGAATTCATTCAAAAACACAACAAAACAGCTACTTTTCCTCCTCCCCTGACTTCACTAAATGGTGTTCAAGTGAGGCCTTATCGTGAAGGCGGTCGCTTAATTTTGAAAGCCACAACCATCACTTCATGCAAATCTTGCTTCCATACAGAACGTGCCGATGGCAGACTTAGACTTTCTTTGATGAATGATGGTATTAACACTCATATTCCTGATAGTTATGAGCAAGTTGAAACAGAAGCTGAAGCTGAAGCGCAAGTCAATGAACATGAAAATGTAGGAAGTGAAAAAGGGGTAGGAGAGTACGTAAGACCAAGAAAATGCAAGGAAAGTGGGAACAGAGTTAAAGGGATACCAAGCTGGGAGCCATTTTGGGTGGCCATTTCTTGAATGCTAATGTAATAGTACTTAATTAGCAAAATATGCTTTCATTTGGAGCTCAATTTGGTAGTTAGATCTGTCTCTCTTTCTAGCATTTCCACATTCTCGATCGATGCTACTAGTCTATTACGTGCTTTCATTTTGTTTTTTTGTCATTTTGTATTTATGGTTGTTGGGGATTGTATTTTAGACCATCTAGCTTGAACAACAAAGGTTATTTGATATATTGTCCAACGTCCTATTTGTGGTTGCTAAGTATGCATTAATTTTGGCTTCTCATCATCAACTCTTCATACTATGATCGTACAACGGAAAGCCATTTTTTATTTGTCATGAACCAACTATCATAACTGCAATGTATCTGTTGACGCAGAGAGGAGGTTTAAGGGGCTTGGTTAAAAACTTAAATTGTTTAAATGTTTCTGTCACTTCGTAGGGTCGCACTTCACATGCATGGAAAGGTGAATAGGGCACCAGAGGCGGATCTAGGATTTCTAGTACATCGGTGTACTACTAAAAAAATGAAGGAAAAAATATATTAAGTGGGAATTTATCCCTATTCCTCTTGATAAATAATTTAACCTTCAACCAAGTGCACCATTCAACCTTCTTAAGGTATGGATGGTAACAGTTGATATTATACAAATTTCAGAAAATATGTACATAAAATAACTAATTTTGTGAAGAGACCATGGGTTCACATGCCCCATAATCTCCCCTATAAATTCGCCCCGGAATGGGGCGTTCATTTTTCTTTTTTGAATCCTTCCGGCTGCACGTAAGATTAGTGTTTTTATCTACTAAAAATAACCTTGGAGAGGGGAATGCGAAAATCTGGCATGTCCATGTCCTTTCTAATTAATCCAAACTCCTATTCCATCAAATATGATTTCTATGTCAAACAACACAAAAAAGTATACAGTTACTAACGAGAGTCAAAATATAAAAAGTTCCAACATATACATGTGCACATTTTTTAAAACCTATTTTTTTTTGGTAATTTAAGATTTTTATTACCAGAAAAAATATGTACAAGTTCAAAACAAAAACCCTTCTCTATCACTCTATAGTTGGACATGCAGCCCCAACTATAGAAGCTCCTTCAATCTAGATAGCACAAATCTTACGTAAAACAAATCTAAGGGTAGAAATTTAAACTTTGTAACCTTTTCACTAAGCTAGAATTCAAACTACCCCGGCAGTGAATCTCTTGAATTATCAATCTAACTAGGTCCTCAGCTCGCCTCTTCTTATTTCGAAAAATTCTCCAATTTCTCTCCTGCCATAAGTGATAAAACATCACCTGTTAGCATCATTCTGTACAGGATTGATGATGTGCTTTTCCCTGATGCATACCTATTAGCTCATCGTACCTCTTCACTCCATCTTTTGACAGCTCTTCCTATCCCAGCCCATTGCAGTAGCCTCTCCCATATAACTACTGAATATTTACATTCAAAAAACAAATGTTCATGATCCTCATCAGCTTCCTCACACAAAACACAGGCTGAAGTTGTAATGCTTCCCCATTTCATAAGTCTATCTCTGGTATATAATCTGCCTTGTATGGCTATACATACAATGAATATCCATTTAGGACAACTATCATTGTTACATAGCAATTTCCTCCATGGAACCTTCTTAAATTCTCCCCTCAGCTTGTTATATACATCTTTAATGGAGTAGCAGTTTGCATTCATCACCTCCTTTACATTAATATTTGCTTCAGTTAAGTACTTCCCAGCTCCTAGAATCTTTTTAGTCAGCCATGCTGCCTGTTTAGCTCTGACATTCCATGTTTCACCTTGTTTTATGTAGTACGCGTGCATCCATTGAATCCATAACCGATCCTTTTTTTGCACAGATTCCAGAGGTGTTTAATCACGGTTGCTTTATACCATGTAATTATATCAGTTATATTCAAACCTCCTGCAGTCTTAGGCCAGCACAGTTGATTCCAAGCCACCAGTGCCTTCTTGCTACCACCAGCCTCCCCTGTCCACAGAAACCTTTTGCATATACTTTTAATCTTCAATAGAATCTTTTTGGGCAGTGGAAAAATCTGTGACCAGAAGGATTGAATAGCAATCATAACACTCTTGATCAGTTGCAATCGACCTGCATATGACAAAAATTTTGTTGTCCAGTGCTGTACCTTTACCAACATCTTATCTACTAGCGGTTGACATTGAGCCACTGATAGTCGTTTTTGTGCTTAATAGAACTCCAAGGTATCTGAATGGCAGGGATCCCATAGAGAAACCCAGACTATTTAGAATCTGCTGCTGCACTTCCATTGACACTCCTCCAAAATATATACAGCTCTTCCCTTGGTTAGCAATCAACCCTGATGAGGTAGAAAATTGTTGAAAACAATCATATAGCATCTGTGTAGACATTATATCCCCTCTGTAAAATAATAATAGATCACCGGCAAAACTCAATTGTACTATGTTTAACTTCTCACATCTAGGATGAAAGTTGAAATCTGGCTTATTCTTCAAATCCTTCATCAACCTTGTCAAATATTCCATTGCCAAAACAAAGAGATAAGGTGATAAAGGGTCTCCTTGTCTCACCCCACGCTTAGAATTAAATGGAACTGTTGGTTTGCCATTTATCACAACTGAATAGGATATTGTGGTAACACATCTCATAATCCAGTTAAGAAACTGGCCAGGTATGTTCATGGTTGTGAGAACCTGCTCTAAAAACACCCACTCCAGTGAATCATAAGCCTTCTGCATATCTATCTTGATCATACATCTGGGAGAAATTCCTTTCCTTCCATATCCTTTCACCAGTTCATGCCCTAACAAGATGTTGTCATTCAATAATCTCCCTGGCACAAAGGCTGCCTGACTCTTATCAACCAAGTAAGCCATCACAGCTTGCAATCTACTTGTTAACATTTTTGATATGATCTTATAGAGAATAGTACATCAAGAGATAGGTCGATATTGTTTGATTGATTCTGGGTTTTTCACTTTTGGTATAAGAGTAACTAGAGTGCTATTGGCTAGTTTATACATTTTGCTCTCATTGAAGAAGTTAAGTACTGCTGCTGTTACATCCTTCCCAATTGTGTTCTATGCTTTCTTATAAAAATATGCATTAAATCCATCACCTCCTGGAGCTTTTGAATCATCAATTACCTGCAAGTCTTTAAACACATCATCATTGGTAAAAGGTGAAGTTAATTCCAGTTGTTGCTTCCTTGTTAAAACTGGTCCTAGCTTCATCAGATTAGGATCAATTGCAGGCAAACTACTAGCTGACTTCCCTAGTAAATTTTTGTAGAAACTAACTATTTCTTGCTCAATTCCTGCTTCACTTCTTATTAAGCTTCCATCCTCCGCTGTAAGTAGCTTGATTTGATTCTGTGAAGTTCTCCCTTTCATACTAGCAAAGAAAAAAGCTGGGTTAGAGTCCCCTAGTTTTAGCCATTGCACTCTTGATTTCTGCTTGTAAATACTTTCCTCTATCATACTCCACTTTTTAAGTTTTTGCCTAATGTTCTTTTCTGCTTCAAACATATCAGTAGTTGATGCAGTACTTCTCATCTGTACTTGGAGTGCAGCCAATTCTTCTCTTATCTGTTTGACCTTTGTAGTTTTACCAACAAACTCCTTCCTATTCAATCCTTTAAGAGCCACTTTCACCTTTTTAAAATTCTGCCATATACCTTCCATTTTAATACCCCTGTACTGCCATCCTTCCCGTACAATTTGGCCAAAATCTGGATGATCAGCCAAGCAGTTATAAAATTTGAATGGTTTTTTCCTACTATCTTCTCTTGCTTCCATCTCTATACACAGGGGAGAATGATCTGAGAAATGAGGATCCATCACTTGAGCTTGCATAGGAGGCATTACCATCATCCACTGAGCATTGACTGAAATTCTATCTATCCTGCTATAGACATGGCTATTAGTCCATGTATAACTTCTTCCCACAGTTGGTAATTCTGTCATTCTGCACTCTTCCATAAAATCTCTGAAATCATTAATTTCATTTTCCTACACTTCAGTACCATGAACTCTATTATCCATATCCCTGATTGCATTGAAATCTCCCATAATTAACCAAGGCATTGTCATCTGTTCCTCCAGCTCTTTTAAAGTATTCCACAACTCATGTCTATGAGCAATAGTGTGCAGACCATATACAGCAGTGAAAGCAAATTGGAAGGTAGCATTAGCATTCTGTACTAATCCATGAATGAGTTGTGTGTGAATTTTTAAAACTGTAAACATATTACTATTGGGATCCCACATTAGTCATAATCTACCTCTGCCATTTGAAGAGACATTTGAACACCATTGCCATCCAGCTACTACCTTATTTATTGCATCCTTTACTTTATCATCTTTAATTTTATGTTCTATAACTGCTATCATAGTTATTTTATTTACCTGCAAAAACGCCTTCATCTCCTTTTGCTTATATACTTTATTGAAACCCCTTACATTCCATGTGGCTATCTTCATACTGATATGGTTTGCCGAAGCACTCTCCCTATATTCTCCGTCATACTCCCGTGCCCTTCAGCTCTATCTGCCCAACTTGCCAGTTCTATCTGTGGTTCCACTCTTAAATGAGTAAATCCATTGGTAGTGACTAGTGTGTACTGCTTAGGACTGGGATAATTTGCTTGCAGGCCTTTTCCACTGGCTTTTTGCCATGGTATTTTATCAGTCTATTGTACTTGAAGTTCCTGAGTTTGGATTGCCTGCCCTTCTTTCACCTCCTTATTTTGCTTATTCTGCCCTCTTGCTACCCATTGGACTGTTGGTTTTTGAACCTTTGCATGTTGTAAATTTCCTCCATTCTTATAGCCTCTATCTTGTTGATTTTGCGTTGCAACCTTCTGTTTCTGCTGCCCATCCCTTTGCCTTCCTCCCTGTGGGTCAGTATATTCTTGTTGACCATTACAATCATGTCCAACCATAAGACACTTTTGGCAATACTTTGGCACCCAATCATATTCTACTAACTGCTCAAACTCTTTCCCCGATGGATCCTGTACTACAATGTTCTTTGGTAACTCCTTGGAAATGTCCATTTCAATTAGAACCCTTGCATAAGAGATTCTAGCTACACTTGATGTACATTCATCAGCATATATTGGGCATCCCAAACCACTAGCAATTCTACTTAGTGTAATCTTACCCCAGCAATTCAGAGGCAGATTTGGAAAACTAACCCACAATGG